GATTTATTTGGGCATAAGCTTTCGTGAGTAAAAACCTCACTTCTTCGGATGCATAGAGTGAAAGTTACAGATGCAGGCAAATGTACATGGAAAATGTACATGGAAGATACACAGTAAATTGAGGAAACTCTTTAAAAGGAGGGATTCTTATAAATGTAGAGCAGCCGCTCATATCCTGTAGTTGAGTGACACCCCAGAGAATTGCTAGCAGTGTTCTGGGGTGTGTCATGTGACTTTCCATTCCTTGTCTGTGGTCTGCTCAGTCACACTCAGATGTTACAAAAAATCTCTTAGCCATTGCACAGATTCCTATGGTGCCTTCTGTGGAACTTGGCAGTTCCTCTGGGGTGCTAGATATACTATCACAAAGGATGCTGAGGTTTTTCTCTGGAGGACTGTGGTTGATTTGTGAGTAACTAGGCGGTCATGTTATGAAAAAAAGATAAATAAATTGCGGTTTAGCTAAACTTTTGGCTTTAATGCCCAGCTTTTAAGCATGTTATTAAATGCCTGGTGTTACAAACAGTGTCTCTCTAAATGTACTTATTTTCCACAAACCTACTGTTACTTTTTCATGTCCTTCTTCTAGTGTTATTTCCATAGAGATGCTTAGTCATAACTCTGATGTTATTAATATATTTTTGTATTCGAAAGAAATTAATCCCACATTATTTTGAGCTTCCAATTATCTGTTTATCATTTGTTCCTCATACTGGGCTATATTTTCAAGACAGGGCCTCTAATTGTCCACATAAATATGCACAGACAGATGCATATACCGCTATTGTATTTGCATGTGCAAACAGACAATTGTGCATACAAATTCAATGATTGATAAGTTTGCATGCAAATGTTTAAGTAAATGTTTTCACACAATTAGAAACTAAGTAAAAAGTTTAGATGTTTAACCAGATACCTTGAAATTCTTCCCTATACTCTCCCAGAGTCATCTTCCCCTGTTTCCTCTCTACAAGACCTTGGATTACTTGCACTCCCCTACAGCATTCTAAATTGGACTGTGGCTGCTTCTTCCTCCAACACACAACTAATTCTTTCCCGCCTCCCTGTAATTCTCTACGGGTTGGATGCTCCCTCTCACCTTCCTTTGAAGATCAATTGCTTGGGCCAGCTATTGCTATCTTTTTGATCCCGTGGATAGTGTCCTGAATTGCAACTTGGGAGACCTGTTTTCTATTCCTGCCTCTGTCATTGATCTGCTGTGTGACTTTGAGCAAGTCACTTCACTCTCTCTCCCTCTGTTTCCCCTTCCACCATTTGTGTTGTCTATTAGATTATAAGCTTCTGGGAAGTGGGGCAGTCTCTTACTATGTTTGTACAGTGCCTAGCACGATAGGGCCCTGTTCTCAAATTAGGCCCCTAGGTGCTATGATAATGAAAATAATTATAATTGAGCCCTAGGCATCTCCAGTTATTGTTTGTTTTGTAATGCCTGGTGTAAGTATCCCAGACTACACTGAAAGAGCTAGTGTGCACTCTGTTTTAATAATAGATATCTAGAGACAATCAGCTCCTGCACTAAATCTTAAAGTGGAGGCAGCAACATCTTATTGGGGAGATCATCATCAAGGGAGAACTTATATTGAGCATCTCAGGGATTGTTGAGGAGCATTCAGAAGGCAGCAGCCACTAGGGAGAAAGACACAGCCATGGGAAGAGGCTTGTAAGAGAAGGAACCCACTGGTTGCTGAGTTTGCTATCAGATTGAATAGTGTAAGCACTCTGGCTTATCTGCTGCCCTTGCCTTCAGCATACTCATATGCTTCTGAGATAGATATGCCTTTATGTGCAGTATGATAACTCTCATTCGGT